AAACAAACAAGCAAAGAGAGGAAGAGAGGAGAAAAGCACGATATAGACTGCCGACAATTGAAGTTTTTATTTCATAAATTTCCATTTAATTCACCTGCTTTCTCATCGTTCATCATAATGTTCGCAAGCCCGACTCTCATCGCACATAAATTGATGATGAAATGGGCTTTAAATCGTCAGACAATTTGTTTTTGCTTTTTTCTTAGTCGCTGTTCATCCTTCTTATTGTTTGTTCAGTTGTTATCATGAAAATGAGAATAAGGTGATGAGAATATTCAGATTAATAAAATTTTCATGCTAAGACGAAACTTTTTCATTTCGTTTATTGCATCTGAAGTGAAATAGAAGAGATTTCTAATACGTGCTGGTTATGGTGTGTGATGAGATTGCATGTTGATATTAATTGGCTGGGTGACTTGATGACAGTATTAATAAGTAGATCTGTTGATGGATATTTGAGAGTTTTCAAGAAGAAGTTGACTTTAAATCATTAAATTGGATTTGAAAATAACACTGGATTCTGTATTCTGTCCTGGATGTGAAACTCGTATGCAAGAATCTTTAATGCAACTTTTCAAGTCGTTGATTCGATTTGGGGCTGTTCACTTATTACGTAACGCGAAAAAATGACTTCTTAGACCCCCCCCCCCTCGTAAAAAAATTTGTATGAAAAAAAAATTTCCTTGTTTGAACCGTAACAAAATCTTAGACCCCCCTCCCCCTAAAAGCGTTACGTAATAAGTGAATCATTTTTTAGAAATCATCCAAATTTCCCAATTTTTATAAAAAAAATTTAAAATTGAATTTAAAATAAAAAAGAAAAAAGCGCTCAAAAACTCAAAACTGCAAACTTCATACCAAGTTACTGCTTCCGAACGAACACTTGCCAAAGAAATTCTCATTCAATCTCGTGCAGAGAAGAATATTTTAATTTAGCTAATAAGTCTCAAGTGGATTAGAATTGAAATTGCATATTATATGATAAAACCCTAATGAAATGAATTTATTTAAAATGCCTTTGCGGAAGCCTTGAGTGTTTGATAAAAATTAGATGAGGCAAAAAGATAAAAATAAGCGTAAAAGCTCAAAATAAATTAAGATTTTGTTCATGTTGTGAGAACAGATTTAATTGACATGACTGGAAGTGATGAAATCTATCAAGTTTTTAGTACTCAATCTGTCAAGATTTTGACAATAACTTTTTTTATATAGAAAATTACTTAACGAATTGTTGGAATGAGAAGGGATTAGTTGAGGACTAGCATTAATTTTCTGGTAGAAACTTTCAACAAAAATTATGTTGCGTAATGGGTTTTAATTATTAAAAAAGACTTTTTATTTGTCAACAATAATTAATGACTTCATTGTTGATAGGGCGATAAAGTTTGTACTACAATGGCATAATTATTATAATTAACGAAATTTAAATGAGACTTGTAAGATGCTCTGTTTGTAGTTTTGAAAACTAAATGGATGTGTCAAGGGAAAATTTTGAGAAAACAATTAATACACCGTCATAAATGACATTTAACATTGAAGAGGGAAAGTTTTGTGACGTTTTATAGAAAACAAAATTTTTTTCGATACAAATTTTGTAACAAAAAATTTCGTTGTTAATTTGACGTCATTTATGAACAAACTCCATATTTTGACAATTTTAAGTTTTGTAATTTAAAATTATTAAGAAAAATTAATTGAAATTATGAAAAAATTAAAGGCTTTTCAAAAAATTAAAATTTAAACTTTGGAATTTTTTAAAATTTAAAGTTTGATAATATTGTTTAAATCTAGAAGGATTTTAAAATATTGCTTTGAAATTAAAATTTCATTATAAATCTTTTAAAAATTTAATTCAAATTCTAATTTCATTCAAATTACATAAACAGCAATTAGTATTTATTTAAAACACTTATAGCCAATCCATCCCCTAAATAACTTTCCGAGAAAATAATCACCCGCGGAAGCAAAATATCGCAAGAAATAGATACAAGCCCTGCTAATTTCCATAATAACTCATTTCGAAAAAATTTCTTATCTCTTTTCCTTTATTATCATTTTAAATTTTTTTTTCTTCTTTGCCACACTGACGGCAAGCTGAGCATAAAATTGTCCAATAAAGACGTGTTCAGCATGCCTGAAATTAAAAAGTTTAATTTGATAATTGAAAAGAAATTGAAATTTTTTTATCGCAACATTGACTAGATAATTAAGTTTTTTATAATGAAAATAGCAGAAAATTGAAATATTTTATATGAATTAATATTATGCAATTGTAAAAACCTTGAAATAAACTTGTTGTTCCAAGAAAATAGAAATATTAACATTAGTACGCATTCAAGTTAGTAACACTTTTTTAAAAATGGAAGTATGACATGAATTTGAAACTGCGTTCATAAAATCTATAAAAATATGCGTGAATGGTTATAAATATGTAGCAAATGTTGAGACTTTTATCTCTTAAATGTAGATTTTGTATTAAATGAGTAAGAAATGATAAATGTACGACTTTATTACCTTCTGTGATCATTTATCTCTTTCATTTATATTCATGCCTTCTCCTTTGCTCAACCTTATACATTCCTTTAGTATCAAGTGACCGGATTAGAGGTTGTTGACTGGCAAATGACAAGACAAATCGATTGTCATTGTTTAATCTAAAATTCAAATTATTTTTAATTTTAACGGTTTATGAAAATTTTAAATTATGATTGATTTTCCCTAGAATTTTGAATTTGAAAAGTTCGTTAAATTTTTAAAAATAAAAAAATTCGTTTAATGTTTAAATTTGAATAATAAAGTTTTAATTTTGTACATTTAAAATATTATATTTATTTTTAACAATTTTCAAACAGCATTCTTCAAATAAGTCAAACTATGAGAAAATAAAATTTCGCAATACCGGTGACAATAAAATCCCCACTGACCGCGTACCATAGTCCAACGCGTACTAAATTTGGCACGAAAGAAAAATATTGAAAGAAGGAGAAAAAATGGAAAAAGGCAATTAACGTTACATTGAGATTTACACAAAAGATAAACTTGTTTTCTTATTTAGTGTCATACCTCAATCCGACAATAAACGCACCCAAAAAATTTATTAAGTTAAAGTTTAACATTCAAATGTGAAATGTAAAAAGAAATGCGCAAAAAAATCAATTTTATCGCCGCAATTTCATTTTTTAAGAGGAATTTCATCGTCAATCGGTCTGTTGAGTTTAATTTATGGAAGAATTTCAAGCATTTTTCTTTCAGGTGTGCGCATTAATGTTTAATGTTTATAAGGTATTCGTTATTATGAAATTTCGCAAAGTAATTCATTTACTGCAATTCATTAAAGGTTTTGAAATCGAATTTTTGAGATTAAGTATGGCGATTAATTAGGAAAGGAGGGAAAATTTTGTGGTTTGACATGGTGGGATTGGACACTTTTGTTAATATTTGTGCTGGGCTGTGCTGGGTTATTGTACCTTAAGTAAATAAATTAGCCATTGCGGGAGTGAGACCTCTGTAGCAGAATGGTTTAGCAATATATCAAAAATCTGAATAAATCTCTTTTATAAAAACGTGGGTTCGATTCTCACCAAATGCCAATCTCTATAAACTTTAATTTTTATCAACATTTAACAGCACACAGAGACTAAGAAATCTGAAGACCTATAAACATTCAAAATAACATTTCACAATATCTTGATGTCTCACAAATTGACGAATAATTGTCATCTCAACTTTAATCCTATTTAAATTGTACTTTATTCCGCAATATCTCCTTGAATATTTCTGTCATATCCAATGTTTCCCAGCATCTCATTTTCATCATTTCATCTCTTAAAGTATTCATGAAAATCATATTCGAAGAAATAAATGATTTAAAAATGCATGATGAGGTATAATGAGTTTTTAATAGCTTTAAGTGCGACACTCTAGTGAGGCCCTTTAGATCCATAATAATCTGAAAGGTGCAAAATGACATCAACATTAAAATGAGTGGGAATACTTAATGTCTCCTTCTTATTGAGATTGAGCTACAACTACGGCGATCGTAAATGATAAATTAATTTTATGTAGACTTAAATTGCTGCGGTTCGTCGGGGGGCTCGTCAACTGTGATGGAGCATTTAAGGATGAAAACGATGTCAACCTATGTGAGAATTGTGTCTTTAAGCATGAAGTGAGTTCCAATCATTTGAGTAGACTCCCTTAGATACCCCTGAACGACATCTATAGAAAACAGGCAAGTCTGCGTCTGAAACTTTTAAGTCAAACTTAAACAGACAAATGACGTAAATTATACAACAAATCTCGTTGACCGCAAATATTCAATAATAATTCTCTGCATTCATTATACCCGCGAGTACGCAAATTATATTGAAAAAAACTCTGAGTAGCAAAAATTGAGGTCGTTAGCTATTAGCGCTTTTTGTGTCTCTTTCATTCCCTTTTTCATGCTCATTTTTTTTTAAATTTTTTTCTGTCACATTCCAAGACGCATTTTAGCAGACACAAAGTAACAAGACGACATAACAGGCAGATATCATGTCATGGCTTATATTTCGTCATCATCTCATTGCTGTTGATTTTTTACCTCTTTACTTGCCCACTACTAGCTGCTATTCTGCTTACAATAGGGCAAATATATCTTCATCTCTCGGTCATCACTTTTTAATGATTGAAGAGTCTTCATGCCTCATTATCTATTCATGAAGTTACAAATGAGATCTCTTTTGTATGTTTTATATATTTTTTTACATCGTGACTGAACGGATAAAAAACACTTGACACATAATATCTACATAACACATTACCTGGCTTGGACATAAAACTTTTATTATTATTTTAAATATCCATCTGTATTGTGGGAATCTTTTTGCAAACAAAAACACAATTTACTCGCCTCTCACCTTTCGGCTCTTTATTCATGCTACAAAAAAAATATTTTTAATTGAAAAAAGTGAACAACACAGATTCTTCTCTATTATTGAGTCTTTCTTTATTTTTATATTGTTTGCCGCGTACATACTCATGTTGTTTATGATGATAAATGTGTCAGTAAAAATAAAAATATTTAAAATTGCGTAATTAGAGACTTCTACTCTAAATCACATCCAAAACTAAAAATTATTTCGTTATATTTTTTTCATTATTCAATATTTGCGCAATATGGAAAGGATTAAAGGTTATAATAGCTATACTTAACATTAATATGTTATGTTTATCGGGTTCAGGACATGTTGATTGATGTTCAATTATTGATGGAATAGCGAAAGCATTCAAATTTTTAATTATTTATTTTTTAAAAAAAATTCCATCCGAAATAAAAATTATATCATGGTCGAAAGGCAGATCACTAGCTGTCAAACGACTATCATGTTAAACAGCTTAAAAGGTTTTTGTGTAAAATTTAACGATTTAGGTAATCAGCAAATGATAGATAAAAGTACAGCAAATCAGGTCAAAAAAATTATGAAAAATTTACATAATATCGAAATAAAGAACAGCCTTAGTGATAGTAGGTACAACTTAATAGCTAACATTTAAAGTCTTATTGGATAATCAAGCATTTTTTTAGCACGAAATTTGCTTACACATCAGGAATATTAAATTTTTATCATTTTCGCACCATTTAGCATGGTTTTCGGTTTTGTGTTTGGAATCAGAGATGGAATTTGAGATATTAGGATAAGATATTCATCATACCAACTCACACTGCTCTCTACAGCAATTATTTGGAGACAGAACGATAGCCTCATTTCTAGAATGTATGATTTAAAATACATCAAGTTCCAATAGTCTAAACAATCGTTTAATCAGTAAGCAACCAAACTTCATCAACTCTATTCCACCTCTGAATCAACCACTCCAAAAACATAAAATGCTGATAATCAACTGCTAAAAATGTGCTCAAACACTTACTTTGCATATTTATTTGCAAGTCACTTAATCAATTTTTAACTTACTCCGCTTACATGATTCTGCATTGTAAGTTTTCATTTAATTTCATATCATATTCATAATTATCATGTCCATTATTATTTATTTTCTTATAAAAATTCATTAATGTCAAGCTTCATACACGATCAATATCGTTTAATTAATCATTTGCTATCAAAACTGTCTATCAAATTGAATGCAAAATGAATAAAAATATAAAAGCATATTGTGCATTAAATAAAAGCGGTTTACGTGGAATATGTGAATGTGGTATTCTGGCTGAATGCGCCGCACAATCGAAATTCATTTGATGATAAAATTGCTCGTAAAAATTGCGGTCCGCCCATTCCCTGATTCACAGTATTACCAGATAATCGAAGTGTAAATTGCTTCTCGATGGGATCAGGCAGTGTCTGCGAAATGTTTTTAATAATAATGATTATTAACAATTCTTCTTTGGGGCCATCATTTGTGCCAAAAAATGACTTAGAGTGGAAAATAAGAGTCAATTGAGAGTCAACTTACCCATGAATGATCTTCAACACGTTGCTCATTTTGTGTAGCTCTTGCCAAATTAAACATGTACATCACGCGTACGCCAATGTCATTCTTTGCCCCCTCGCCGAGCTCTGTGTCGTAACATTTCATTAATGAATTGAGCAATTTTTTATCCTATTTAATCAAAATGATGATGAATAAATTATACTTAAAATAATTAATTTTATTTTATTTTATTTGGCAGCTTACATCATCATTGAAATCGGTTTTGTCAGGATATAGTTTCTTTAAAATACTTCTCGCTTGATTGATTGATAATTCCATTTCTGAAGTGTCATTTATAACCATTTCCCACTTCTTCTTTGACATACCCTTGGATGTATTCCATTTTTCACGTGACAGTGTGCAGCAATTTTGTTTTAATTTATCCTCCATCTCCTTATAGTTTGGAATGAAATCCTTGACATTTTCAGATTCTTTTTGTATTTTAATCAATGAGGTGTGGAAGAGTGGAGCGACTGTTAATTGCCCAATGCTTCCTAAAGTTTGTGACTCAAGGAAATGCAAAACTTTTTCTGCCTCTTTTGTATCGTCAAATAATCTCTTTTGACGACGAGCTGGAACTGGCTTTGCTGTTTGCCAAACTGTTTGCCATGTATTACCCGGTATCATCATTCGATCACTCAAATGTCCTTTCCTACCAAATGGATCACGTTCTGAATAAATGAAGGACGAAGAGAAAAATAAAGAAAATTCTCATGACATCAACTGTACACAAAGAGAATTGGTATGGGATGACTATGATTGTTAGAACATTATGCGCATTTTTAATGGATATGGATTGTCTTTGAATTCGAAGACCAAGAGTTTTTGGATGTAAAATTGTGCTAAATGGTAATTAAATGTAGAGTAGAGGTCTTCTATCACTATATGTGACTTATAGCTTCACAAAACAACACAGACAGCCAAACTGACTTTAACCCCTTTAGAATCTAGTGTCAAAAAGTAAACAACTCACCATCTGTATCTTCCTCAATCCAATCACGTGGACTATACCAACGAATAAAATCCTCAAGTTTTCCAATTGGATTTGCAGCCTTAAAACTTTCCATGTCAGATAATAATGAGGCACTCATCAATTGTGCCCTCAAACCGCTGTCTGTGACATTGAGTAACATCTCAGCATCATCCTCAAGTTCATCTTCGGTCTTTGGCACTGAGTTAGGAGGAAAAAAAAGTTATTAAAATGAAAAAAACAAATTGTGTTTGCGTAACGACAAAGATGAGAAATGTTAATCTACCTGGATCTTGCGTGACGGGAATATAAAGCGGTTCATCGGAGTCGATAAGTAGCATTTTGCCGAGTTTTGATATGCGTCCGACTGGATTCCATGGAGATTGATGTGCATGTTCTTTGAATATGAGAAAAATTTCTTCATAATTTTTTTTTTTCATTAAAAAAATAATAATTTATCTCCTTTACCTTCTTCATCCACAACACGATCATCATCGCAGTCGAAGAATTCATCATCTGAATCTGTCTTGCCTAAGCTTGATGGGCCTTCATGCTGTTGAGCTAATAATTGCATTGCAAACGGTAATTTTCCTTCACGGATATTTCGACGCTCCATGCAAATATTAAGCATTTGAAGCTTCTGATGGAGCAAACAACTTCGCATGTCTGGAAATCCATTTGCCACGCTGAAAATAGAATAAAAATTTTAGCAAATTAAACGTGATTTTATCAATTAATCACGTGCAGCATGTTCGTGAATTGCAATTAAAATTTTTGTACTTCTTTCATTCTAAAAAGTTTCTGTACTCAATTCTCATTCTCATCCCTTTCACTCATCCTCACATTGAGGAGTCAAATACACAAATTTTATCACTCATTTCGTTCCTTCTGTACGTGCATCAGATTCATAAGGTGGAAATGAGGATGTGAAAAAGCGGAAAATTTTCAGTTTCCTAATTCAATTTCATTCTAAAGCGTTATGATGCAATAAAATGTAACTAATGTCGGAAAAGGATGAGAGCAAAAAGTTTTTACTCTGGTTTCCTTTTCTCCTTACCATTTATGTGCATAGTTCTGAAGAGTAATGATTGTTTTGTGTTATCATAATGTCTTGATTTTGAAAGGCACTTCTTAAAGTGTGGCATAAAGATTCATTTTAATTTTCATCTTATTGAGGAAGTTAGAAGGAAAAGGATGTTGAATACTTAAATTAAATTAAGTAATACAAAAATTATCTGTAACTGTCTCTCCTATGCTGAATAAATATGGACATTAATTTACAAGCTTTGTTTCTTTCTTTACGTCTCTGTCTGATCAGAGTGAATCTGAAGTTTCGAGCTTAATGTAAGAGAATCAGCCAGTGCAAGAATAAGGCCTCTGTGGCTAACTAGTTAAGCAACAGATCAAATATCTTTAACCCTATTTTATGAAAACGTTCAATTCCTATTGGTAATCTATTATAAAGAAATTATATAATGTTGTTTACCTAGCTTTTGAATTTTTTCAACAACTTATCTACACTGAAAAATCCATTCTTCATCATCCTCTTGGAAGCCGCTATTTAGAATCAAATTTAAACTGCAGTTATGATTATAATTCCTCAGATATTTGGCGTAATAGCTTCAATTTCATCACACAAAAACTGCCAATTTAAAGTTTAAAGATTTATTTGAAATCGATACTTTAACTAGTAAAACATTCCGCTATATATTTTGCTTAATTTGAACATATTATCAACAAAAAGCCCGTTAAACACGTAATTTAGAGAAAAGTGCTGTTTTCAACATTTTAATCAATATTTAAAGATTCTCCATTTTAAGCATAAAACGGGATAAAACACATATATCAAATATTGTAGGAATATTATTTCAGCATGTGCAATAAGTTATAAATGGACCAGCAGCTTCCAATACAAAAACTCAGCTATAGATCATTGTTGTCATAAACTATATTTGGATGTTGCTAATTAATAGTTTTTGTGTGGAAAATAATTAACTAATGATGTATTGTTATGTTCTATTTTTAAAAATAATATAATATATTGCAAAAATAGGTAGTTAAGTGGGTAATAATTGACCGATTTTGTGATGATTACAAATTTAAAATTTAATTCTGATTCTTTTGACGAGCAAAACAAAAAGTTTCTTTGAGTTACAAAGAACATTGAAAATTCTCAAGTTCTCGTCAAATAACCTCAGATTTCTTTTTTAAAGAATTTTTCAAATAAAAACCAAAACTTTAGTCCAAAAGGAAAACTGACAAAAATATTAAAAAAGTTTACAAAACTCAGCATTATATTCACAAAGAGAAGTTTTTATTGAGCAAATTGTAATTGAAGTGTCTGATATCCCGTATTATTTTTTTTTATTTTATGCAATTTGATTCCTATTTTCTATTCAGTATTCAGTTAAATGTTCATATCAAGCACTTCAAGCCAATTTATTTCCAAACGGTCAAGGAGAGAAGAAAAAGCTTTTTACAGAGAAATTCGAGCGTGTAATGGATTTTAATTGAATTTTCTTTTAAAATTTTCGCAGTCTAGTATTGGATCATCAGTTGATTCTGAATGCTATTGAACTTATCTCCATCATTTGATGTTAGAACAAAGAAGACAGTGAGAATGAAAAACAAATCAACAGCAAGTACATTACCGCAAAACAACTACGATGATTGTGAATTTGAATACACGAAAAAAAAACTTCATAAAAAATCATCATAAAAGTTTTCATCTCACATTTTCTCATACCTTTTTCCAATTAAAATGTAAATTTTTCTTTCCCTCTCATTTTCACATTTATTTGTGTTTTTTTCCCATCTCTTACTTCATCGCCATTCAAATTTACATTCGTAAATAACAAAATAAAAACCAACAAACAATCAGGAAGACTTTTTTTATCATTACATTTTCAGATTCTTCCTTTAGATCACAACCACCGCAAAAAATAATGCATTACAATATTAAAACAAAGTGAATCATGATGATGATGATGATGTTGATCATGCTTTGAAAAAGAAAAATAATTCAAAATAAATATTTAAAGCCATGCTTTTGCAACTGAGTAGATTGAAAGAAAACAAAACAGAGAGGAATAAACTTTACATTTTGCCAGAAGAATATTGAGTTTTTTTTTCCTCTTTCCTGAACAGTCTGAATAAATGCATGAAACGAAATAGTCTTTGGATGATTTTCAATGACTTAAAGTATCATTTTGTTATTTGCAGGTTTTAGAGGAATATTGAAGACATTGACTAGAAAGAATTTCCTTATTTTATACATTGTCACAGGTCAAGGACTTGAATTGTCTTAATCCAGAGGTTCTTAAACTGTGATGATGTATTTTTCTAGTTCCGGAGTTGTCCAGAAATAACTTAACTACTTTATTAATAAATCCTTAATCTTATCATAATTTTTTGGTCATCAAATGTTCAGCCAATTCTTTGAAATGAAAATCAGTGTGCCACAAAGCGATAAAGTTTCAGAAGAACTGTATTAAAAAATGAAAATTTCATTTTTTTAGGGTTAATTGAATTGCTTATCAGAGAATTCTTCACCTAGCTTTAAATCTTTTTATTTCGTTTGCTTTATCTGCTTAATCTCTTTTTTTGAATCTTCGATTTAAAATAGATTTCCAGGAAAAGTCTTAGGATTCAAAAAAAAAAAATAAAAGCGAACTAAAGATAAGCGTAATGGCCTTAACATCCTTGTCTGCTAGATCTGCCAAATTTTGGACGTTATTCACTTTCTATCTAAGAATATTTACAACACAAGTAAACGACCTCGAAGAATAAAAATCAAAAAAATTCAATAAATTAAATCAAAAAAAAAATCCAATAATTTGAGTTAATTTAAGAACATTTCGCAATAATCCATAACAAAAAAGAACATAATCAAAAAGCATTAAAATACAGAAATAAAAAGTTCTGCTTCCGAAACATCTGCCACATGTAGCATAAGAAATCTCAATTTATTATGTTCATCTATTAAACATACACACAAATATACAAGCTTCATATACTTATCCGAAAGGTCCACGTGCAAAATGAGATGAAAAATTGCAAATTCAGCAAGAATTTTTTTACGGTTACACAACAAGGTGAATGACGGACGTTTTATTAGAGAATTTATAAGCTGATATGAATGTATGCTTGAATTTTTATGGACAATATTTAAGCGAGTATTTAAGCCAAAAAAGTTCCTAAACATACGAAATAAAAAAACTCAATGGATTTGTTTACGTTTAAAATTTTCCTTCAAAATTTGCATAAGCAAATGTTACGCATTTTAATTAATATCAACGAGTGGGTCTAGTCGAGTGTAGGACAATTCCCCACTGTAATTTCGCCACTTTACATTTGGCCACTGACATTTCACCACCACTACATTTTGCCACCTGTACATTTTGCCACTATTTATTTGCCCACTATTTATTTGCCCACCTGTTTTTTTCGCCACTGCTTTTTTCGCCACCTTTTATTTGGTCACTATTTATTTGCCCACCTGTTTTTTTCGCCACTGCTTTTTTTGCCACTAATCATATGGCCACAAGTTTATTTGCCCACTGATTTATTTGCCCACTAAAGCAAATGATAAAATAAAAAATTGTAAAAAATATTGAAAAAATTTTGTTAAAAAAACATGAAATTTTTAAAATTATTTTTTGGAGCATTTATGGAATAATTGGCCATATTTGGGTGTTCTGAAAAAATCATGCGACCGTACGTAAATGTGCTTGAAGGTGTAACGATATATTGAGATTTGAATAATCTCTCTTCTCTGGCTTGGACTTATCATCACTTATCCACTCTTGCTTCCTTCATTTATTTTATTCTATTTTTCCTTACTAGTTTTTATTAATTTTAATGTTTAAAAAGCTTTAAAGGTTTAATTAACTCTCAATTTACTATTTCATCATTCTATGAGATAATTTGAATAGAAATTAAACGTGACGTAAGGATGCTGGGTTATAAGTCCAGAGATTATAAGTCCAGGTACAAAAATCGTGCACAGAAAATTATAAGTCCAGAAAATCAAAGTCAATAAAGGTTTATAAGTCCAGATACAAATTGCACCTGGACTTAAAAACCTCACCTGCAGTTTATAATGCCAGAAAATTTAAAAATTTTACTTATAACCTCCCAGTGCGATTATAAATCCAGATACATTTTTCTGGACTTATAATCCTTGAAAATTATTTGATATTATTTTAAATTTTTTCATTTAAAGTAATTCTTCACATGAATTTTTGAAAACTTCACAAAAAGAATTCACATTTCTCTGATTTTTTTTCCTCTAAAGTACCATATAGGGTAAATTAAAATTTGCGTGTTTTGAGACTTGGAATTTTCAAACGCTTGTAACTAATCGACGAATTGACATTGTGACCTACTAATGGTCTTGAAATGTTAAGAGTCGTCGATATTTTTATTTTTGATCATGTAAAGGTTTTTGCGCTGCATCAATTCAGAGAAAATTGACATTTAAGTTTTCATTTTGAAATTTGCGCAAAAATATTTTGAAATTTGCGCACTTTTTTGATAGTAATCTTTACCTTATACTATTTAGCATCAAATTACAGCTGTACTAAAATTACAGCTGTAGATTACAGATGAACTTACGTCGTTACGTAAAAATCAATTCACAGCTGTAGTTTAATGTGTATAAGTAAAAACAGTAGTAAATATAGAT